CTGATATATATATCTTTGAATTCAAAATCGTAACAAGGGCCCAGATGTAAGAAAAACAGTCTCCAACTCCACAAGAACACTCCCATCCATCATCTTCTTCATCTTTCCCGCTCCATTCCCAACCTCCTCTATAACCATGCATCAAGCGCCACAACCAACCCCGATGCTTCCCCGGGCGCCTCCACAACGGGATAGGAAGAGTTCCTTACGCATAGCAAGGCTCGCCGATGAAGCCGAGCGCTACGATCACGCAGCTCTCTTCATCAAAGAAATCATAGCAACAACCTACGCCCACACAGAACTCACCCCCAAGGAAGGCTGCCTCCTCGCCGCCGCCTTCAAGAACCTCATCATCTATGCCCGCACCGCATTGCGCTCGGCCATCTCCGCCTCCAGTTCCTGGCATCACGACCCGTCCAAACAAGACCTAGCCGTCGACTACTTTCACCGATGCAAGGAAGAAATCGTCTGCACCTGTATGGAATTCCTTCAAATAATTGAACAGCGGCTGCTTCCCACCTCCAAATCCAGAGAATCGATGATCTATTACCTAACCCTAAAGGGAGAGTTCACCTGGTATTTGGCAGAGAATAAGGAAAATAGAAGCCCCGGAATGCCAGAAGAATTAGTCGCTAAAGCCGCCTATTACAACGCTTGGGTCCATTATTTCGCCTTCCTTTCGTCTCTGTTAATCGGTTCTTGATTTTGGGTTTTTCTTTTTTTGCTTTTTAAAAGAAAAAAAAGTTGAATCTCGTCTATTGCAGGACTTTGCGAAAGATCTTGATGCCATGAATCCGTATGTGCTAGCCCTGGCGTTTAGTTATGCAGAGTTTCACTCAGAGTTTCTCAATAACCCTATCGAAGCTCTTCAAATTATACAACGCGTGAGCAACTTGCTAAACCTAAAGCATATAACTATCGAATTAATCTATGAAGATTGTGCTGATGATTGCTATATCTCGTTTACCGATTTCATCAGACAGTGGATGTGATCGGCACACTACAAGAAGATGGCAAACCAGCTCATACGCTCCTGAGCTTTGAAGGCGGCCTTCAATTGTATGTGAATCTGCTGAACTTGCAGGGAAAGATTAACTATCTGGTTAAGTATTAATTTGAATTTGTTCATCATCTTTAACTTCTAAAGCTCACATTTTCCGCTTCTGTCATCTCTGGTTTCAGCTAAAGGGAAACGCCGCCGGAGCTTCCAATATCCCGGCCGCCCAAGTAGCCGGACCTCCCAATATTCCGGCCGGAGTTTTCAATATTCCGGCCGGCGATGTAGCCGGACCTTCCAATATTCCGGCTGGCAATGTGGCCGGACATTCCTATATCCCACCTTCCAACGATGCAGCCGAAACTCCAGTTCTTCCACCCAAATACTTAGCAGCAGTGTGCTTTATGTTAGGTACTGACGCAACCAAACATTCCAGTTTTCTTGCCAGTTACATACTTGGAGCTTCCAACACTCCGGCCGGTTTATTAGACGACTCTGTCAATCTTCCGGTGGGTGGTGTCGCCGGACCTTCCAATTTTCCGATGAATTATGAAGCCGGGCCTTCCAATGTTCCGATGAATTATGCAGCTGGACCTTCTAATGTCCCGATGAATTATGCAGCCGTACCTTCCAATGTTCCGATGAATTATGCAGCCGGACCTTCCAATGTTCCGATGCATTATGCAGCCGGATTTTCCAGCGTTCCTGCCGATTATGCAGCCGGACCTTCAAATATTCCGATCATTAATGTCGCTGGAGCTTCCAATATCCCGGCCGGTTATGCAGCCGGTCCTTCAAATATTCCAATCCTTGATGTCGCCGGAGCTTCCAATATCCCGGCCGGTTATGCAGCCGGACCTTCAAATATTCCGATCATTGATATCACCGAAGATTCCAATATCCCGGAGGATTACGCAGCCGGGCCTTCAAATATTCCGGTCATCAATATCCCGACCGATTATGCAGCCGAACCTTCAAATATTCCGATCGTTAATTTCGCCGGAACTTCCAATATTCCAGGCGGTTATGCAGCCGGAGCTTCCAATATTCCTGCCAGTAATGTCGCCGGAGTTCCCTATATTCCGGCTTATGGAGAAGAAGAAGAATATGATTTTGCGGGCGAGTTCGAAAAAAATCCCAACGCATTTGATTATTCCGGCTTATGGAGAAGAAGAAGAATATGATTTCGCGGGCGAGTTCGAAAAAAATCCCAACGCATTTGATTCCTTTCTCGAAGAACAACCTACCGACATTCCGCCCAGTGCTGCACTCGAACCTTCTGATTTTCCCGGAAGCAACAGTGGCGGCAATCTCTAATCTTTCATTCTCGATGAGGACGATCATCACCATTCAATCGGTGGAATTTTTACAGAAGACTGCAAGAGGCCGCCGAGAACTGTGTACAAGACTTTTATGATTTGCTGGCCGGTGTAGATGGGTATAGGAATTATTAGCGCAAGTGGAAATTGTTGGCGAAGGATTGGTGCAACTTTGGTGGATATTTTACTACATTGACTACAGTAATTGGTAAATATTCTTTACAAATTAACCATCCTCTTTGATCCATTTTTTTAATTTCTCGCTTAAATATCAAAATTCATGGTATATTCTTTAATTTTTTTATGAAATTTATAGTAGTTTGATCGTGGCATGCGTAAATATAATGGTTAAGTTGTTCGAAGAATTTACCTCGAAGGTTAATTTGTCAATATCAATATTTTGATGGTCTGTATGTAATTATCACCTATTATATAAGCTTGGTTTAGAATTTTTGGGAAAATTATTGAAATTTATAATGACTTCTTTTTCAATTTTTTCTTAGTTTAAGACAAAATAAATAGAGAAAATGATACCAAAGGTAATATTTTACTTATTAAATGAGAAGGGAGAGGAGGCCTTGAGCGGAAAAGGGGCAAGAATTATATATATATAT